ACGTATTCACTCATTTAATTATATATAAAAATTATATAAAAAAAATATGTAATATCCCAAAATTTTTAGAGCATTAAAGTGAGTAAGGGACCTAATTGTGAAGAAAGTACTATTAATGAACTTAATGGTAAAAATTTTCAAAGTTCAAGGACTAAAAAGAAAGGAAATTAGGATAAGGATCAAGGCTGATATTTTTATCCTCAGCCACGTGTTTTGCTCTTCTTCATCTTCATTTTCTTCTCCTCTGCCTCCCCGACCAGCCCCCCCTAAGCCACCGACTTCTTCCTCCTTTGAAAACTGGTAGAAGACTTGAAATTTCTTCTTTCCTTCTTGTTCAAGAACTGATTTTGGGGCTTAGAACTCTCATTAAACCCAGAATTTTCCCCAGATCTGCTCGGTCTCTTCCTCCCCTGTCCATCGGGTTCTGCTGGGTGTGGATCCTTCGGCTTTTCTGGTCAGCCACAGCCATGAATTCATCTCTTTAGCTTTGAATTTGGCTTGGGTTTACCTTGAATTGTGTTTTGGTTTTTGGATTGGGTAGCCGCGAGTTTCCTTGCAGAATTTCTTCTTCTCTGCCGCCGGCTTCTCCCCCCCTGCTAAGCTCGGTTTTGCTTGCTAAATTCTGGTAAGTTGCCGGCTTTTCCAAGCTTAAAATTACCCATTTAATTGCTGGGTTTTGTCCATTAGTTGATGCTCTGTGTTGTCCGAATCTGTTGGGATAGGGGATGAATTTGGCAGCCCTTTTAAATGTGTTTTTGTGCTTGGTTTATGTAGAATTAGCTTAATTTGGCTGCTGTGAATTTTATAGAGAAAATCCCGTGAATTAGCTAGTGTTTTGGCCAATTTTGAGAGTTGAAGTTACTGTTCACGGGGTACTGTTCACGGGGTGCTGTTCATAGGCACTGTTCACACACCGAGGGTTAACAATTAACGAGGATTTAAAGGTTTAGTTTGTGATATAAGAATGAATTTGGAGATGTCCGGTTATGTGGAGATTGATAGAAATAGCACTGTGATTAGGGATAGTGCTAATGATGATTTTACTGTGAATTTGTGGTAGTGTGGTATTAATTCTTGGATATTGTGATTAGGTTTTGATCGTTCTGTCACTGTAGCACTTGGGTTAGCCTTCTGTTCTGTGCGAGTAAGGTAAGTAAATTATGGTAAAGCCCTTCGATTTTAAAGCATGATTTAAATTGTTTTCGAGATGGTGGCAAGGTTTAAATTGATTTCAAATTGATTTTATCAGCATCTGAATGTGATTAAACTGAAATGGAAATTGTGATGGTTTTTATGAGAATTTAACTGTTTTTCTGGAATTGAGCATGATTGGAATGAAAATGGGAATTTCATTGTTTTCTGGAATTGAGCATGATTGGAATGAAATTGTTTTCATTGCGTTGAGTAGAGCATGCCTATTTGGAATTGACTGAACTGTTTCGATGAACTGAGAGTTTGCAAATTTTGAGGTTTCTGTTAAATCCATGTTCACATGGGATTTTCTGGTTATTTCTGAAATTTGGGATTTCGATTGTGAATTACGGATTTTGATTGTGAATCCTGCATGTTTTGTCTCTGATATGGTCATGACTCCTGATCCCCGCTAGTGGGTGTAACGCTAGCACATGTCGACATGTTTACGGATATGACCGGTTAATTCCGACACCTGCCACTGGGTGAATACGTTGGCAAATTCTGTCGCCTGCCAGTGGGTTGTTATAACACTGGCCATGACTTATAGATGAGACTACTGAACTGAGTTTTCTTCTGCATTAACGGTTTGTCAGGAAACGTTTTGTTATTAAACTGAATCTGATTCTGCATTAACGGTTTTGTCATTGAACGTTTTGCTATTGAACTGAATTTGATTTCCGCATTAACGGTTTATCAGTGAGAATTCTGCTATGCATACATGATTTATCTGGCTTGCTTAAAAGTTTTACCTAAGGGCTATCCGTATTTACTTACTGAGTTATCTCATAGTTTTCCTTGTCCACCATTTCAGGAAGCGATATTGAGGACGGGGAAACTAAGGGAAGTGACGAGTTAGAAGGCTAGCCATTTCGAGATTGACATAGATTTAGAAATAAGTCATGATCCTGTAAGCTAGAGTGTATTTGGAGATTTTATGATATCAGAGTAGATTGTAAAAATTTTATCTTGAGATTTGGTGGTATCAGATTGTGGATTGGATAAGTTCCGAGCCTTGTGTATTTGTGGGATCCTCTCACGAGTGCACGGCGTCTCTGGATTTGGGTTCTGGGGCGTGACAAAATATATAAAAAATTTATCCCCATATGATTACTTTTTTATTTTAGTGAAAGGAATTATTCTTGAAATTACCTATGGACCTTACAAGAAAATTGTCTGACCCCATCGACATCCGTTATGAAACTGAAGTCATTTGATCTTGTTCATGAAGAGCAAGTGACGCAACAATGGGGTGCATTAGAGGAATAATACTCAGGACCGTAGATCTAAAATCTACGATGATAACGTGGCAGGAGGACATTCGTTCCAACTGTCATTTCGGCCCGAAATTATCTTAATTTCTCCCTTTAATTGAATTTTAAAGGAAACAAGATCTCT